TGTTTGAGGCCTGTGAGTCTATTCCTTTTGCTCCACTAAATGAGGCCCCAGAATCCCACAGGGAATTTAGAAACAATCTAAGTTAGCTTGTCAAACAAAGTATCAGGCAACTAAAGGTAGCATGATATGTCATATCCTGGTGTACCCAGATATCGGAGGTGGGACAAGATTTCTAAATGCACTGATCCCAGGCCCCTGTTACAGCATAAGACAATCTCAATCAGTGGAAACAAAACCCCATACAAAGCATATACATCCCCACCCTGTGCAAACCCTATGCAAACACTTTAGTCCTGGAATAAATCCAGAGTTCAGAAGTGAGCAAACAACCAGGACTTTCTGCCCGACATTGCAGCTAGTGAATGTAAACATCATAATGATCATCATCATGTAGCAGGTCCATTGCAAAACATCACTCTCATTACAGTCTGCCTGACAAAAACTTGATTTCTCATCAGTTCTCTCTCCTCATGTATTTTTCATATCCAAATGAAACAATACTAAATCACACATAGAGGCAGCAAAAAAAATGGTCTGCCCACTGAAATAAATAGCCTTGTGATGGCTTGTGTACCATATAAGGGACATAGAAAATGAAGTAACTTAACCAAAAACAATATATAAAGATAACATCAAAGAAACTCTACAACCATACAATAACTCTATGGCAAAGGTGGACAAAGCCAGAAATGCAAATTTATATCCCTCTGGACACCCACAAAAGAAGAAGTGATGTCAGTATAAGCTACTGACATGCTTACAATATTGGTATGGGTCTTAAAGGTCTGAGCATGCCTGCAGCTCAAACACTCACAACCCAGATTACAAATAATAATAAAAATCCCAGATACCCTTATCAACCTCCTTCTCTTTCTAACGGAGCCCAGGCCCTCAACCAACTCACAACAAATTATACAATCTTTTATGTCACGTGTACTTCCTTCCCCATCTTTAAAACTGTATTCTTAGTTCTGTTGGCAGCTGTGGCTTAGGTTTTGCAAACAGGCTTCATAATTCCAAAATACCTGGTTTTACTCCAGCTGCAGGAGATTTGGTAGAAAACCACTTTGCACTGATGTTAATAATGGTATGGAGCACTGACCATTCAGAAAACAATGGTAAATTACCAAAGGTGGCACTGCCTATAAAAACCAAAAGATTGTACAATCCTCACAGTGTGCCTGTCAAACAGGACCACAAACACCTGAGCACATTCTGCAGACCTGCCCACTCTAACTACAACTTTGAAAAGACACCTTGCCTCAAGAGCAAAGTGTGCAGAGCAAGCTATGGGAAACCATGAAGGACCTGCCAGTTCATAGAGGCAACCCATCTGATGATCTGATCTGAGCATATGAAACTGAATGCAAAGAAGAAGAAGAAGAAAACCAAACAGCCAAACACGCTAGCCCTGGTTCTGCAATGTGTAAAGGATACCCAGCTAACCTGTGCTCTCCAGTTCCCCTCAAGAAGTTAAAATTACAGTACATGTAAAGGCTACAGCAGGTAACACCCTGGAAAACTGCAATCCAAGTAGGTCAAGTATGTAGAATAGTGGTGCGATTATGCAGCAAGCATTCATACGGTTTCTCAATATACAGGCACCTCTGCCACAAAGTACATTATACATATTTTATCCCTTATGGAATGGACACAATTTTATACAATTAATGTCAATGAATTAGCTCATGCTGTTTAGCTACAATTTCAAATGTTTATATTAATTCAAAAATTCAAGTAGCTACAAACATATTAGGACTAACAGATTTGTTTGAAAGAAAAAAAATGTCATTAATCATCAAAAAAAAAAAAACAAGCACAGTTTAAACATATTAGGACTAACAGATTTGTTTGAAAGAAAAAAAATGTCATTAATCATCAAAAAAAAAAAAACAAGCACAGTTAAAAAAAAAACTAGTATATAAAAGAAGATTGTTTTTTTTTTTTGTATAAAAAAGAAATAAACAACACATAGCTTCTCTGGCATCATACACCTGGCACAACCTGGATCTAATAGAAGGTACATTTCATAATGAAAATATCAGGTTCACAAATATTTTACAACATGTGGTCTTTGTCTGATCAAAATAGACAATGGGGAGATACAAACAACAACAAAAACACAGATTGTGGGGGAAAGGCCTGGTTTGTTCACTCTTTCACCAGCCCCTGGTCTCCAGTCAACAGAACTCTATTTTCAGAACCTGACAACTCAATATATTTTAATATATCTTTCCATATATATTTATTAGTTTCAACAAGCACTGTACTTAATCATTTTTATAGTACGAGAGTTGCATGGGGAAAGAGAGTCAGACCTCACGGTGTAATATTCCTAAAGATAGCAGTGGATGCGCTGCAGCAACCTACATTGTGAAAATCACAACAAATAATAATAATTAATACACTGTATATATTTCTTCTTTGTCTTCTTCTTCTTCTTTTTCATGTTCAGTAGCTGTAAACTGTTGTTCTGGTTGTTCATCCACTCCTTGACTTTATTCTTGTTCCAGAACTTAAGTTTTGTGTGCACATCCATTTTACAGATCTGTCTTATTTGTGTGCAGACTTTTGGTTCCTCACTTCACAGGTAGATGCGCTCCAACTTCAAAGCAAACATCCATAATTAGGTGGCTTTTATGACATGCTTATTAGGGAGAAAGAAGGCCAGTGTTGTTTTTTTTTTCTCTCTCCCTAGGGTGCATCCTTGAACCTACACAGGGAATAAATTTTACAATTCTTTCCATTTTCATTCTTCATTTACGTAACTCCATGCAATCCAAGCTGTTACTTTAACTTACCTCTGTCCCACAGGTATATTACTGTGACTCAGTTATACAGCTTGAGGGACAGTGTTAAGAAATAGAAGTCTGAGACAGAACAAGTTATCCTTATTCTGTCCACAGCCTATATAAACAAGCTGTATAACTTTCACAAATCAAAAAGGGGCCAGTAAAGGTTTGCAGTACACTAAATTAATGTAACACAGCCAAGGACAGACAGGGTCCAGTGAAGGTTTGCAGTACACTAAATTAATGTAGCACAGCCAAGGACAGACAGGGGCCAGTAAAGGTTTGCAGAACACTAAATTAATGTAGCACAGCCAAGGACAGACAGGGGCCAGTAAAGGTTTGCAGTACACTAAATAAATGTAGCACAGCCAAGGACAGACAGGGTCCAGTAAAGGTTTGCAAAAAAATAAATGCCAATTACTGCTTTTTTTTACCACTTTTGCGGTGTAGGCACGGGGTCTTTGAATCTGAGGATTAATGACCCTATGTCTAGTGCTGTTGCCACGACTGTGCAGGTGAGGATTCTATTTCAAAGGTTTGCAGTACACTTAATTAATAAACAGATCAGCAACTAACTGCACTAGAAACCCTTGCCTGTCAGCCCGAAGGACTTTAGTACTGCACTGTATCCCATTTTCTGTATAACTGATCTTAGCTCAAGCCTCAAATTTATACCAGAAAATGTTTTTAGATGTAAAGGCAACCACGTGCTAAGATACAGATTCTTAAATCAGTAAATTTTTTTTTTAAACAGATCAACTGGTCAGAAAAAAGATAAGAAACTTATACGATGTATACAGTAACAACTAAACATGCGATGAGAGGGCTAGTACTCAGCATTTGGGAAACACAGAAAAGGTAAAGAGATGCTCAGCAAAACATATGTTAAACACCTTTTCCAGGTACTTGTGTTAGTTACCCTCTAGTAAATTCCTCACTACAACTGATGAGCACAAAATCAACAGAGATGATTGCTCTTGGAATACTACCAGAAAATACAATTTTTTATTTTTTATTTTAAAATTTAAGGAAGCTGAAGTGATTGGACCAATAAGTGTCTTAAAAAGAAGTGATTGGACCAATAACTATCCCAAACAGAAGTAACTGGACCAATAACTGTCTAAACAGAAGTGATTGAACCAATAACTATCTCCAGCAGAAGTGACTGGACCAATAACTATCCCAGGCAGAAATGATTGGAGCAATAAGTATCTCAGATAGAAGTGATTGGACCAAAACTATCTCAGATGGAAGTGATTGGACCAATAATTATCTCCAGCAGAAGTGATTGAACCAATAACTATCTCCAGCAGAAGTGACTGAAGTGGCTGAAACCAGTCATGCAGTCAATTAAACAGTAACAGATGAAACAGTTACAATTCTCGGCTGAGAATGCTCATGTACCAAATGTCTAATCACTTCTGTCTCTTAGAGTTATTTGTCTAATCACTACTGTTTCAGACAGTTATTGGTCTTATCACTTCTGTCTTAGACAGTTACTAGTCTAATCACTTCTGTTTCAGACAGTTATTTGTTTTATCACTTCTGTCTTAGACAGTTACTAGTCTAATCACTTCTGTTTCAGACAGTTATTTGTCTCATCACTTCTGTCTCAGAGAGTTATTAGTCAAATAACTTCTGTCTCAGAGACTAATTGGTCTAATCACTACTGTCTCTTAGAGTTATTTGTCTAATCACTTCTGTTTCAGACAGTTATTGGTCTTATCACTTCTGTCTTAGACAGTTACTAGTCTAATCACTTCTGTTTCAGAGAGTTATTAGTTGGAGTCATTAATTCAGAAGTTATTAGTTTAACCTCTTCTTTCTCTGACTGCTATTAGTTTAACCTTTTGCATCCCACACGGTTTATATACTGATATAACAATGCATGCCACATAATAAGTAAATAACTTTTACATAAACAAACTAAAACAACAGAATCACCTAGCTCTCTTTGGAATTAAAAGTTACATCATCAATAGGTTACTCTGGAATTAATTGTCACACCACCATCATGTTGCTTTGGAATTCAACTGTCACATCATCATCATGCTGCTTTGGAATTAACTCTTAGATTATCACTATTCTCATACCAAAAAACATGTTCTGAAACACAAAGCAACAATACTGCCTACACCATTCTGCTCCCAACACGGTCTATCAGAGACAAACAGGAACCAGATGTGTGGATAATGTACAAGAGACTGGTCATTCTGTACTGCAGGCTGGCGTAGGGGTTGGGGCAGGAGGCGCTGGACTGGAAGCTGTGTGGTTGTGACTGTTCACCTCTTTACTGACAACTAATTTCTTCATCTGTCGGATGACCGAGGTTGCATTGAAGGCTTGCTGTGGGTTAGAAAAACACAATAGATGTTGTCAGAAAGCAAGGCTATGCAACATAAATTAGTTATTTGTCTCTCTTTCATTAAACAAGTTACCACCTCATTCCTATCAGTCAGAAATGGCTGTATCACAGTAGCCGGTTTTACCTATACCCTGTTAATGTTGAATGTTGGGTGACGTACATCAAATCTGAAATTCTGATATTCTCAATGGCTATGGGCAGAGAAGCACAGTGGGCAGGCAGACAAAGATCTAGTCTTCTGAAACGGCAGCAACAGAACAGAAAGAGAATCCATATACTGAAAGACTAATTCAACTACGGGTAAGTAGAGGTTCTAGAAGATATTCAACACTGAAAGGGGGAAACATGGGTGGATTTCTAATCAGTCTGCAAGTTGTACTATAAGAATTTTGTTTGCTACTGAGCAAGGAGTAGCAGCACATGCGCAGTGTCCTGACTGCAGTGATGCCAATTCTTGATTGATTTATTCACATTCTAGTTCATGACATGAGGAGGGACCGCCAGTTTCCCATCTTTGATATTTTCCATTTTTTGTTTGTTTTGTCAACTGCTCTTCTGAAACTTAGCTTTCTTAACCCCATTTTCAAATTTAATCTATTTACTTCTTGAGGTTGTAAATTTGATGATAACACTGTCAGATAGGTAATTCATGATGAACTCAATAATTTTTTTTAGTTTCTCTTTAACGCCATACAGCTTAGACGCAAGTGTTGATGAGGTGGGATAGTATATCTTTCCTGAACTTGAGAACTAACATTTCTATTGGTTTTTTTTTTTTTTTTTTAACATACTATTTTCATAACTCTTTTATCATGGATATCTTTCTGAATTTACAACATAATTTTCCACTTTGTCTTATTTCACCCGCTCTATCTTGATGACTCTTATCACAGATATCAATCAAGACCCTGGTACAAGTGAAATAAAAGATAGTATCAAACCTTAGTAGGGTTATTTCCCCCTCTTAAAATCTACATATTCATAAGATGTTTGGAAGGAAATGTATCCCTTCAGTGATATTAATATCAATGTATAAAGCACGTAAACAAACTCAAAGAGAGTGCAAACGTATACAGACTTATAAACTGTCAGCAAGATGAAATCTAACCGATTAATTCAAAACAATGTTTTCCCTTTCTGAATTTCAACAATGATGTCACAAACAAAACACAGCTTGATTTATTGCCTGGCATATTGTGCATAAATAGGCTGAAGCCATGGCAATTAGGATGGACAACCTCATGTTATGTAAGCAAAAAGACATGGTTAATCTTAGACCTCGATGTTGAGATGTAAACTGTAACAACAGACATTGTGATTTGGGTGTTTTAAATAAAATGATTCATTTATTTCTGTGCTTCCTTATATTATGATGTAAATTATGTGGTAACACATCTGACAAGTTACAGTGAAGTATGCCAGACAGATGGGTTTCTTCTTCCTCAACCAACTTACGCCAAGGTGTTCTATCTTTCGCTATCACATGCAGCTCTCCCTATGTCCTTCCCTTCTCCATGTGATTTTGGTCTTCCTTTATTTATGTGCCCCTGTGGGTTCCAGTGCTAAGACATTCTAGTTATTTTGTTCTCATGTTTTCTAAACATTAACGGCAGCGTCTTTTCTTCACCTCTTGGTCCACTGGAACTTGTTTAGTTCTCTCCCACCAAAGCTCTACATTAGTGATTCTATCATAGGAGAAACAAATGGGATTTAGTTTTTGTTAAATAAATTTAGGAACATGTCTAGAGGTAAAAATACTTACCCTCCATTTATTCCTTGCAAATGTCTTCAGCATCTGGGCCTTAACGGATGCATGAATGTTCTTGTCCAAGGCTGCATTACCTGAGATCCTGAGAAACAAAGCACAACAGATTGCTAAATTACCAACTGATGCACGCCAAAAGAAATAACTTTGTAAGTATGAATGCAAACAGAATGGATACTTCTTCTTATAATCCATCCCAATTGATGGCGGTAGTCATACCAACCCACAACCTTCTGTCTCGTGTGTACTTTTAATCAGTTTTGTCACAGATGATCGTTCACCCCATGATGTCAAACTGTTCCACATCCAAAATGTCAAACTGTTCCACATCCACAATGTCAAACTGTTCCACATCCATGATGTCAAACTTTTTGACATCCATGTCAAACTGTTCCACATCCACGATGTCAAACTGTTCCACATCCATGATGTCAAACTGTTCCACATCCGTGATGTCAAACTGTTTCACATCCATGATGTCAAACTGTTCCACATCCACGATGTCAAACTGTTCTACATCCAGGATGTCAAACTGTTCAACATCTTTACCCCTCGAACTTGCCATAGTCATTATAGACTGCAGTTTTTCGCTTTTCTCCCTTTTCCTAACATGAATAAAGAATGCAGATCAACTCCTTCTGATGTGGGAAAGCTGTACTCTTTGTGAGTCAATTTCTTTCAAGACATCTAGAAGGGACTTAACACAGGTAAACGAAATAACTTCACAAATAAAGACAGCACCATGGATGTGAATTATCCCACTATGGATTATGCATACCAAGTAGCTCTGTGGTTTAGTGGCTAGTGAGTGTGTTTCACAATCTCTAACATTTGATTTCCATGCAGGTTTTGAAGAAAGACTGTCTTCATAGCTTCTGGACTGTGGTATGAGAGCTGAAAGTTGAGCTAAGAACTAAAACCACAGCATCTGGGACATTCCCATAAATGCTGCATCCTGATTTTCAGTAGCCACTGAAGAGCTTCAATTCTAAAGGTGCCAGTAGCAGTCTGATTATATGTCCGTCTTGCCTTTCTTCTGTGTGTAGAGTGTTGACCACATTCCCTGGTCACTCCTAGCTGTGATATTCTCTCCAGACCATAATGATCTATTAGTGCCTCCCCATTTTTCCCTTGCTACCAAAAGGCTTTGACCCCATTCAGCTTGTCACACATAAATTCACCATCCATTGGTGCAAAAGCAGCCAGTCTGTTGGTCTGTTCATTACACAACCCTCCCGCATGCACCAAAAAAAAAGCATTTAAAGAAAGCTAACTACCTGGGACAGTGGTATGAGAGTCCCACCAAGGAAGACACTGGGACATTACCATATTAAATCCCCCCCCCCCCCCCCCCCAAAACCACACAAAAAAACAGCAGCGGATCCACTGCAGCCAACTTCCAGTATTAAAACAGCACAATATTTTTGCTAATGCAACTAGACTATTCGGTATCAACAATATCGTGCATCCAAATGTGCTGTGGTATGCTATCTTCGTCCCTGTCTGTCCTTGCCAAGCAAAGTTTGAAACTATATGGATGCTATTTCAACAAACTGTGCCATTTCCAATTGTCTCGACACTGTCTGCTATTGGATCAAGATGTACTCAGGCGACAGAGTGAGGTCGACGAATTGCGCTACTCTTCCTCACTTAAATCCAAGTCCTTGTACAAGTCACTTTTATCCAATTATAATCCTCATCAATCTTTTTCCTCCACCTGTTGTTCCCACTGCTCAAGAACTTTCCAGGCTCATATTGGACTAATCAGGCACCTTCATACTCATAATCACTCATCATTTCTCCTTTGGATGAAAAGAGGTCTTCATCACTTGTGATAGATAAACAACCCAACACCATTTCACTAACACTGCCAACAACTGCCATTACTGCCTCTAATTACCACTTCTGCGTTGTAGGCAGCCGGGTCTTGCAGCTTGAGGGTTTAGGGCCACACAGCTAGTGCTGTCATGACCTTGGCTCGCAGGTCGACCCATCCTTGAGTGGGTATCGGGTGCAGTCCCGGGAAGTAGAGGTGGCTGGCGTGATGCTGACCACATCACCCATCTTGTGCCGTTGGTCTATAAAAAAGAGGTCTAGCCCTATATGCCCTATACTCCTATAGGCGTGGAAAAGGGTCCTTTACTTTTTTTTTTTTTTTTTTTTTTTTTTTAGTTAGTGCTGTCACAGCAGACTCTGCAGATTAGGATGTTTATGGGGGTTAAACACACGACCTTATTGAGGAGTCAAATCTGGGTTTGCACAGAGAGCCCTAGGTGGGCCGGTCGGTAAGCTGCACCTCTTAACTAACATTAAACAAAGAAAACTGAGGCTTCTAAACTAAATGTTTAAAACAAAAAAGTCCTTTTACTGCCATGGATCAATACATGAAACATGCAAAGGCATTCTAAAATATCTCATCATGAGGTAGGTCCTTTGCAGAACATCATTCTCATATTATCTAGCCAAAAAGCATCTCTGTTCTAATGCCTATATATGACACAATATTACAAAATTATCTGGAAAAATAGTTTTGAGATTTGAGGTTTGAACAACGGATTAACAACATGGCACACGGGTAACACCCCATAAGTGCTCCGCTCTACTTCTAGCTCAAGTCTGAGTCCGAAGTAGCTCAGCGCAGTGCACGGGCTCCGTAGCACCAGCGAGGATCCTGAAATATTTTGTGTAGATTTTTAACTCCAAATTTTGCCGGTCAGTGAATTTAAGCTACTCTTTTAAATTTCCAACTGCCAAAGGATTCTTTTACGTGGACAACAATACACACAGGCATCCAATCTCACTAGCCAGATTCCTGGGACAATTACTAGAAGTCCAAGTGAACATAAAAAATCCCAGCATTCACCAGGGCTTGAGACTGGGAGCTTTAGCACTCGAGGCGGACACCATACCTCGAGACCACGCAGCCCCCTATTCTGCTAAGATGGAAAGGATGCTAACTAACTAACTAACCACAGTCCTCAAGAAATCTTATTTCCTCTTCTTGCATTCATTCAATCCTTTCACTCTGGAGGTCAGGACAGTCCAAAGATAAATACGGCCAATGCGGTATGAAGTGTGAGGCCATCACATATTCTAGTTCATGACATAAGGTGGGATGGCAAGTTCCTATCATTTACACTCCTGCCTTGTGAACTTTCATGCCCAGGGTGTCTTTGATGAAACTTAGGTTTCTTAACCCCATTTTCAAATTTAATCTTTTTAATGATGTCATGTTCACCAATGTGCTGGTCATCCTCTGCCTCTTCCTCCAGGAACCATACCCCTCAACACTGTTCAATAAAAAGCCAAGATGGTGCTGAACATGGGTGATATATTCAATTTCACGATAAACAATACTGTTTATGAACCAGTCCCCTTCAGTATTCAGATCACGAAGAATGTCAGATTTTCTTCCCTTCTAGGTCCATGATACTCCTGTAAGATTCTTCCTGTAAGTTTTAATTAAAAAGCCCCAATTTTCTTCTTTACTCCATGTGAAATAACCCCGGACTCACATCTGTATGTTCTTCTTCTTCTTCTTTTTCCCTACCCCTATTGCCACTTTCGGGTGTCAAAAAAGATATAAGGTTCTGCTTCTTTCTCTTCTGGCCAACTCGACCACAGACACATCATGCTGTGCTGTTGTAGATTTTCTTTGATGTCATCTTTCAATATCATTCTTGGTCTACCTTGTGCTCTACCTTCTTTTTCCAGCCTAGATATGGATTCTCTGCTTCCCTGCACTATCCACTTGAACCCTTGAACCCAAACAGCCTTTACCACATCAGCTTTGTCATAAAGTATTTCACCATCCAGTGAAGCACCAGCAGCTAATTTATAAGCCTGTTCATTACCTCGCACACAAGAATCTTTGGAGGATAAGAAAATAAATGAGTCTATACTCACCAAGGGTGTGCAATCGCCTGCTTACAAGAGTACCTTTCTTTTGGCTCTTTGCACATTAAGTGGCGGATAAAGTCTTTTGCTGTAGGAATTTTAAAAATATTTAATTTCTCAGTTACACTACCCACATTCACCCATCCGCCCGCCTACCCACACGCATGCGCCTACATACATATGTACGTACATGCATAGGTAATACATACATACATATATACATACATTGATGCATGCATGCATACATATGTACATACGTGCATGCATACAAAGCAACCTTCCCTCTGTGACTTATTATTACACATGTGTACCAACCAACATGTCATATGGGTTTCACCATCTTACAATTAGTAAGGGACTCCAAAAATCATTCACAACATAAGTTTCTTTTTTCCTATAAGGGAATTGTGGAATTGGTACATCAATGAGCAAATCTTTATCATTAAGTCTACACAGTGCGTCAGCTTGACTTTCTGTAACTAAAAGAATTAACATAATTGGAGCCAGTACTGCATAATTATTCAATCAAGACATTTAACAAATAAACACTTATGCAGCATGACTTATAGTATAACATTTCATATAGTCAACTGTAAGCAATTCCTAGTAACAATTTATCATGGTAAATATTTCTATGAAAACTGAGGTCATCTGAATAGGAACAAATAATGACATCAGCATTCATTTCATTCATTTACTACAATCAAACAAATACAGACATTTAAATACCCAGGATGCATATTTACAGAAGATGGCAGACTGGACAGAGAGGTGCACAGAAGCTAGTTACCAAAAAGCAAATGCCCTCACTTATCAGCTAGCTTAGATACCCAAATGTGTCTCCCCAGCATAAGATTAACAGTATCTTAATACCTACTTAGTGCTGTCAGTGCCAAACATGGACAATGAATTAACTACAGAAAAAAATTGACTCCCATGTGGGTTCTGAGCTCCCAGCGTAGGAAAAATCAGAACAGACCCGGTGCTTCCCCAACAGGCATGTCATAAAAGTTAACGACTCATTGGGGAGGAGGGGTCTCTCAACGTTAGAGTACATCTGCCTGAGAGGCAAGTAAATGCCAGTCTGCATACAAATAAGCCAGATCTGTGAAAGAGATGTGCACGCAACACTCAGATTCTGGAACAAGTCCAGAGGTAGATGAACACCCAGAACTATCAACGTGAGTTTCAGTCAGTGAACGTGAAGAAGAAGAGTACAGGAACCAAAAAACAACTACTCAAGAAAGGTTACCAACAGCACAAGAATGGACAAGGTCATGAATACCAGCGTCAGAGGGAAGGTTGCAAAAAGACCATGCCTAAAATACATTAAAAGACAGAGAATAAAGTGGTCTAAACCACCTAGTAAAAATTCAACCAGATCAGACTGCACATGAGACCTTCTACAGAAGAAAGAAGAACATCTGGGTGGAAGGCCAAAGGAAGATTAGGGAAAAAATGGATGGATGGAGAAGCTGAATCCTCCAAAAACAAAAATAAATCCATCACTCTAAAGCCACTCAAGAAGACGAGCTCAAGAAGTGCTAGACAAACACAGAAAACCACAATACTAGGCTTAAACAAGATAAAAACAGTGTGATGACAAAAGAAAAAGAAGCAGTTTTGGTTACTGTATTACTCTCTCAAACGGCGGCTGATATATCTCATAATCAAAAACATAAAACAGAACATACCTGATTCTGAAATCTCATCCCAAAATGGAGAGTCAAATTCATACTGGGCCTTCAATATCTGTTTGAACAACTCTGCGTCATTTTCATCATAAAAGGGGGGATAACCACACAGTCTGACAGGGAGAAATAAACAATTCTGATAATTTCCTGTCCACTATGATTACTGACTAAAATAAGTTGCCTGTTGGCATTTCTGTAAAATATTTAGATGTATGAGAGTCAAGACATTCAAAACATACTATTATCTTCTTTCTCTTTTACTTTTTATTCAATAATAGATCATTCTGTTGGCCCCTATCCATCACAAATATTACCTTATGTTATCACAATCGACATCATGCACTTTGGGCATCCCCATGCATGTGCAGTCTTTCACTGCAGCAGCTACTCCAAGGTACCCCTACTGGTTGTTCAAATGAGAAGTTATACTTCAAAGATGGCATAGGACTGGTTCAATAATGTTTACACCCTAGCGTCATAAAGAACCTCCAGTTGATTCTTATTTTCAATTCTATCCAGCTGTAATAATATTATGGTGGGATCAGTGTTGAATTTTCCTCTTCTTTTTTTAAAAAGGGGTGTGATGTTACAAACAGATGATCATCTAAAAAGCCTGCAAAATAAGTGTAGCAAGCAGAGATAGGAGGAGTCACACTAGAAAACATAAAGTTCCAAAGCTATAGTCAACATAGCAGGACTCAGATGATGGTGTCTTACTGGGAAACAACAGGTCAGTTGGTCATGAGCCAAAGCACACTTGTTCCAACTGTCAGGCACCATGGTCACTTGGAGGCAACATGTTCAAATCCTGGTATGGTAACTATAGCTTCTGATTTGTATGTTTTATAACATGTTTTATTTCTACATATTTCCACGACTGCCAATCAATACATGTTCATTTGTGCACCATAATATTTCTACGGCCTCACAGATTTCCCATAATAAATACTCTCACCATCTATTGTTCCTTGATACGCCCCATGGACTTGCAGTCTAGTGCTCCAATCCATGCTATCCTGTGCAATCTCTTAGCTATCATGGATAGCATCCAGTCCAACACCTGTTGCTTTTGTCAACAATGTTCTTCCTATGGTTTCTCTTGGACATCTTTGTTTCATCAATGCTTTCATTAGCAGCTATCATGCACATACTCTGTACACCACACAACACTTTTAGCTGGTTAGTTTGCTGGAATAGCTTCCTATTATGTAAGTTGTCTGAAGCAGAGTTGTTTATACAGGGTTAGATAACTGGATTCATACCCAACCCTCCTCCTTTCTCATCCAACTTGGGACTGACAAAGGCAAAAATAAAATAAATATGTACAAAATAAATGTCTATGTTTAAGACCCACAAAAATTATGTGTGCAGCATCAAAATAACTAGTTTTATTTTTGGCCAGCTTCACAGCAGTAAAAGTTTCAGAGGTTTTGACATGCTTCACAACAGCCACTGAAGGGTATTTCTTCCTAAATGAGAGAACATGGAGAGAAGCAACATGCTGAGAATACCCTGAACTGATACAATAAAAAGTTCAGAAGATTTCATATTGCCAGTTGTTTATGCTGTTAAGGACAGAGAGCAGGGAAAGACTCTGAATGTTGATCACGATTGCTTCTACTGTGATTCTACTATGATCAACAATCAAGACTATGGGAATACATTATGATGTTATACAATTAACATTGTCTTGAAACCTTAGAGTTGTTTTATAGAAGAATCCTTAGAATTCCTTGGACAGCAACCCAGAGCAACCCAGATGTGCTGAAAGAGGCTAGGGCTCAAAGACAGCTTATCACAGACATCACAAAACAGTCGTCATGTTTTGATCTTGTAATGAGAAGAAGGAAACTGGACATGTTGTGACAACCAGGAAGATCTGTGGAAAAAAGAGACTGAGGAAAACAATGTGAGACGATTCTTAACAGCCTTTTATTATGGCATGGAGTGGTGTGAACACACGAACTGATATATGAAGTTGCTGATCTCAGATTGTGAAGAAGCATGACGATTGACACCAGTCAGCGAGACAACTGATGATGATGATGATGATGGTTGTGGTGATGATGATGATGACTACGATTATGGGGTTAATACTAATAATATAAACAAACAAACTGAAAAAAAAAGCAAAAATCCAGTAAACTCAATAAAAGATATAAACACGTTTCCATTAGAATAATCTAACAATACTGCTGCAACAACCATAACCTATACACAAACATTTTCAAAATAACCAACACTAGAGTGATAAAGCAACAAACAGACAGGAACATAGGCAGAGAACGTGGAAAACAGTGAGGAGTCAAAACTAAAATACAGAGAGCGAGACAGAGAAAGAGGTATACAGAGAGAGTAAAATAGAGAGAGAGAGAGAGAGAGAGAGAGAGAGAGAGAGAGAGAGAGAGAGAGAGAGAGAGAGAGAGAGAGAGAGAGAGAAAGAGAGAGAGCACGGAGATAGGAAATAAAACCTGTCACAGATGGAGTTCAAGCACATCAATACTCACAAAATGTAGGCTATAACACCTATGGACCAACAGTCAACTTCTTTCCCATATGGCTGTTGAGCTAGAACTTCTGGGGCTGGGTAAATGGAAAGAGAAAACAGTTTTAAATATGGTTCACTATTAAAGAGTGTCAACTTAAAGAGATCTTGGTATACTTCATAGGCAACGGAGCCTTTGTGCCCCACCCCAACACATGTTTAACGTTTGGCGGGGCAGGGGGGGGGGCCTTGCTAACGGCCTCTCTCCATTAATTTTTTTTTTAATAAAAATGTATTAGGCTGCGGGAGGGGGGGGGGGGGTTGGATGAGTCTCCCCCCTCCCCATGTTAACTTCGTGGCGGCGCGCCTGGTATACTTTACTTACGGTTCACCATCACTGTGTTAGATCTAAGATACCCGTGTATACCTTGTTTACGAGTCATTATGAAGTGGTAGTAGTGCTCCTGTCGCAAAGTCGTAATGTGTAGTAGTGCTGCCCCGCAGTAAAGTTGTAATGTGTAGTAGTGCTCCTATCGCAAAGTCGTAATGTGTAGTAGTGCTCCTATCGCAAAGTCGTAATGTGTAGTAGTGCTCCCCGCAGTAAAGTCGTAATGTGTAGTAGTGCTCCCCGCAGTAAAGTCGTAATGTGTAGTAGTGCTCCCCGCAGTAAAGTCGTAATGTGTAGTAGTGCTCCCCGCAGTAAAGTCGTAATGTGTAGTAGTGCTCCTGTCGCAAAGTCGTAATGTGTAGTAGTGCTCCCCGCAGTAAAGTAGTAATGTGTAGTAGTGCTCCCCGCAGTAAAGCCGTAATGTGTAGTAGTGCTCCCCGCAGTAAAGTCGTAATGTGTAGTAGTGCTCCCCGCAGTAAAGTCGTAAGGTGTAGTAGTGCTGCCCCGCAGTAAAGTCGTAATGTGTAGTAGTGCTGCCCCGCAGTAAAGTCGTAATGTGTAGTAGTGCTCCCCGCAGTAAAGTCGTAATGTGTAGAAGTGCTCCCCGCAGTAAAGTCGTAATGTGTAGTAGTGCTGCCCCGCAGTAAAGTCGTAATGTGTAGTAGTGTTCCCCGCAGTAAAGTCGTAATGTGTAGAAGTGCTCCCCGCAGTAAAGTCGTAATGTGTAGTAGTGCTGCCCGCAGTAAAGTCGTAATGTGTAGTAGTGCTCCCCGCAGTAAAGTCGTAATGTGTAGTAGTGCTCCCCGCAGTAAAGTCGTAATGTGTAGTAGTGCTTCCCGCAGTAAAGTCGTAATGTGTAGTAGTGCTTCCCGTAGTAAAGTCGTAATGTGTAGTAGTGCTCCCCGCAGTAAAGTCGTAAGGTGTAGTAGTGCTCCCCGCAGTAAAAGTCGTAATGTGTAGTAGTGCTCCCCGCAGTAAAGTCGTAAGGTGTAGTAGTGCTGCCCCGCAGTAAAGTCGTAAGGTGTAGACCAATGACGATTGATTTTTCCATACTCGCCTGGTGCGGATCCAGATCTAAGGCCTTCGTTCTAGCCAGCAAACATGTGGGCGCTAACACCACCACGGCTCTGAGCGTATCCTAGTTTCTCCAACACTGAATCGTCCCTATTGCTTCATTCATATCAAGAATACCCACTCTGTTTCTACGACTTCCCCTTAGTAATCCGCTGTCTATGAAGAATACATCACCACCAATCACCCGGCTACATCAATAATTCACAGAACGTGTCCCTCAAATCATTTACAACTGAGGTGCTCAGCGTGTTTATTACCGTTCCCAAGAGCGCCTGTAGAACCTGAAGATCAACTTCTCATGCTGAATCACTAACTGCAGATTAAATGTCTCTATTCTTTTGCTTGCAAGCAGAAAGAATGTCCCAGTGTCGCAATAATAGCTGAAAATATTCAATTTTGGCATGGCTTGTTTCTATCTGAAAATTTCTCCAGCGGTTTCAATTTGCCGTTGGTAACATTTGTACAAGCTGCACCATAAACCTGCACTACAGGGAACATAAACTGACGAGAGTCACCGGCTAGCCTGCAGGGGTTTACAAACTGCATGCCCCCGCTCTAAGAGACGGGGTTAACTCTTTCACTGCCAGAGTACTCATTGGCGATTCTGGGACAAGTCAATGACAGTACGCTGTTCTCCAGTGTGGGTTCTGGGACTCACTGTCCATTAACAATTATGTTGAACAATGACACTAATTAGGCATCTGCTGAAGTCGGATGTATTAGCCCAAAAGGCGCAAATATCGCAACTTAACTGTAAACTACAACACAACGTGTCAGCCGCCCTTATAAGGGCGAATGCATAAGTATTATATTCTTGCTGTTTTGTATACGGACATGTCTCATTTTCTTGGCATTTAGTGTTAAATAATCTATCTCTATGTCGTCTTTATTCATACAAAGGCTGTGTATCTGTGACAGTATTATTATTATTAACCCTTTGATTCCGAATTATTAGTTCAACTATTATACAGTATCCCTGTTCAATTCCTTTAGATATAAATAGTTATTGCTTTAAACTCTATTAATACCAAACGTGTGTTACTTTATCTCATGCCATCCAAAACAGTTAATAATTGAAACCATCTGGTATTCCGCGGGCCCCTAGGTTTATTATAGTAAATTGTACAGTGTTTTTTTTTTTTTTTAATACAGGATGTCCCACAAGTTTCTATAGACACACAAAAATATCCTCAAGACCACTACAAGCATAACGTAAAAAAATAAAACACCAACACCATTACAAGTCTAACGCAATAACCAAATCCCCAACAAAACTGCAAATATAACGCAATAAACAAATCATTAACACCACTACAAGCATAACGTAAAAAAATAAAACACCAACACCATTACAAGTCTAACGCAATAACCAAATCCCCAACAACACTGCAAATATAACGCAATAAACAAATCATTAACACCACTACAAGCATAACACAATAAACAAATCACCAACACCATTACAGGCACAACTCAATAAACAAATCACGAACACCATAAGAGTGATAACTCAATAAACAAATCACCAACGCTATTACAAGCATAAGTAAAGTAAACATTCCTTTTCACGCCTAAGGCACATAGCCAAAATGTATCGTGATTCGGTTGTTAGGCATTATTAGAGAAGGCAGTGCATTGCGCTACGACGGCTCCATTACTATTATTTGTGATTAGATTATTGTTGGGTTTGGGTTCGCTCCCTGGCGGAGCCGAACTTTTTTCAAAAATGATCTTGGCTCCCAGATCGACCCAGACTTTAGTGGGTACCGGGCGCAGTCCCGGGAAGTAAAGGCGGCCGGCGTGATGCTGACCAGATCACCCATCTTGTGCCGACTAGTCTATAAAATATAGGTCTAGCCCTATATCCCCTATATGCCTGAAGGCGGGGGAAAGGGTCCTTTACTTTTTTTTTTTAAACTCTACTGATTGTTGGGTTGGTTCACTGTATTTATCAAATACTTTAACTCCGCTAAGACCGGTCCCAAGCCCGGCTGTAAAAGGAGAAGGGTCTGGCTGAACCTGAGTGCTTCATGCGTCTCCGGAAGTAGTGGGTAACCGTGAATTAGCCAGACGGCCTGCATGGAAGCCGCAAGGAGGTAGCCCCTCCACCATGCAACGGAACAACAGGCCAATCACCTGTTTGCCTTAAACCACGATTACAAGTAACTACAGAGAGAAAACCGGACGGATCTTAACGGCGACGAACTCAGGGAAGCAGACCTCCCGGACGACCCAGGGTGCGCTGGGAAGACAACATCCGACAGTCATTAACTGACAGAGGACAGGAATGGAACAAAGCCAGAAAGAAAACTGCTGATAGAGACGTCTGGCGATCTCTCTGGCAAACCTCTACACCCCAAGGTAGAAGAGGAGCGACTAAGTAAGTATCATAAATGTTTTGGGGTTTTGTTTCCTTATTGCAAAAAAAAAATTGCAGTCGATAGTTCGCTTTTACTTTCTTTCTATTTGCTCTCACTGTGCGTTCAGTCATTCCATTCTTAGAAAACAGCATTCACACCATTAACACGTCGAGCTGCAGTTCTCAACCTGCCAGTTGCGACCACTTTGGGGGGAGGAGGGGGGTCGAACGCCCTTTCAGAGGGGTCACCTAAGACCATCGGAAAACACATATTCATTGAAATGAAGGAAATAGTTGACTGAGGTCGCCACAACATGAGAGAACTGTATTAAAGGGTTGCGGCATTAGGAAGGTTGAGAGCCACTGGCGTAGGGAAAAGTGAGACGGCTGTCACTGGTTTCCGTAAATGAACCGGATCTCTGCGTTTGCTGCTGCAGATGGGGATGGGGCGCTTATGGAAATGTCCTGAGTGCTGTGATGTGGATTCTTAATTAAACAATAAACATTACACGTAGCATTCACGCCTGATCGTGACTGTTAAGACAATGTCTACTCCTTCATGCAGCTGAGACACTTCGTCCGGAATATTTACAGAACGCTACACTGAGTGGCTGCCACTCGGGGGAAAAAACAACACCTTGTAGCAGATGAAGCAGCTAAAGTTGCTTTAATTATTAATGGTGGGTTCGCTTAAACAACTTTCGGCTACAAAGGACTTATTCCCCGCAATACAGTTGGCATTGAGCCAGTGAAGTATGGCAAGGGTGTCGCCTTAGTGATTCGTAAAAGCAAGGATCTTCGCAAACCCGCCAAGAATCTGACCCGCGGCGTGAAGAAAAACCCACGCCGCGCTATTGCCACAATCCGCAGAACCCTGAGATACAATTACCGCCAGGATTTGATCAATGCGGTCGTTAGACGGACGTGTGTCAAAAGCTTGTAGTTATCAAGAGCAAGGTCCGAACTGCCAAAAAGAACTAGGTCCACTATGGTTGAACTCACATAAAAAGATGTGAAAGTCCTGGTATGGTGGCATCATTCGCAGTCCGACAGCCCAGTCGCACACAGCTCTCGCTCGCTCGCTCGCTCGCTCGATCTACCGCCCGATAAAGCCACGTGTGTCTCTCGTTAGCTTGCTAACTATTCATTCGTAGCCTGATTATCGATAGCTAGATACTGGTCAGACTCGCTTGATATTCGGCTGAGTTTGGCTCGACTACGCTATCGGTTTTCGTCTGCGGGTGGGTTATTAGCGGCCCGGGAGCACATCATTGTTGAAGAGTCAGTCATACCAGCCAGTTTTTTGAACGATTGTCTAGTGAACTAAGGAGGAAGCACGCTTGGGTGTCCTTTTCAGGATACTCTAACAAGCCTTGCCTACTCCGAAGGGACCTAGCTTTCGCTACAGACCGCAACTGCCCATCATTGATTTTCCTATCATGGGAAAACAACAAGCGGCCGCACCTACACCAAGGAAGAGGATGGCCATACCAGCAGCGTCACCGGCAGGCGCCCCTATCGAGGCGACTCGCACACCTACGACAACTGAAGCCGCCCCCATCGTGGCGCCAGCACCAGAAGCCACCCCTATCGAGGCGCCGACACCTGAAGCCCCCCCCCCTATCGTGGAGCCACCACCTAAAGCCGCCCCAGTCGTGGCGCAGGGACCTACCAGCACCCGCTTACCTAAGCAGAGCCTACACCACAGACATCATGCAGTGCTCACGCTGCAACAGGGCGTGGCACACCGCAGCGACCTGTCGCAGTGGCCCTATTTGTCGGTACTGCTCGGGGGCCCACGACTTCAAGGAGTGCCCGCTAGCGAAACTCGATAACGACTTCAAAAAGCCTCACAAAAAGCGGAAATACAGCAACTGCTCAGGTTCACACAGTGCGAGGTACCTGGGGTGCCCATACCTCAAGAAGTGCAGGAGAGAAATGACAGCCGCCACAGCCAGAGACGCATACCAGGCGCCCAGACAGCCAGAGGCAAGACCACCGAGAAACATACCAAGAGACAAACAAAACGATAAGGCACGCTCCGCCACCATTCAAAACGATATACAGCAAATAGTCGACGAACTGAGAAGCCAAATCTCAGCACTCCAGAAAGAAAGAACCACCGCCGCCGCTGAAAGAACGGAGACCCTGGAACTGATTTCCCTACTGCTAGGGGAGATCAAGGACCTAAAGGCAGAAAGGCTGGCATACGCTACCCAGCAAACAAACAGACAGTCAGAAGACGCAGAAAACCTTCAAAAGTTCAGAGAGCTACTTACCAGCCTCAGAGCAACCCAGGCAGAAGAAGAAGTACGCCGCCAGACAGAGAGAGAGGAGAGAGGGAAGGAGCTGGCCGAGATAAAAACTGCACGGGAAGCCGCATGCCGCGAAGCCGCCCAGCTAGAGAAAGCCACCGCAGAAGCCATAACAGCAGCACAAGCAGCTAAGACAGAAAGAGACCTGCTGAAGAAAGAAAGAAATGCCACAAAAAAGCCGAATTCCAACAAGGCTGACAAAGGCGTCTCCTCTGACAACGTAACAACAAAGCATCAGGCGCAAATGACCGAACCAGAACATGATGAAACCAACGAAGAAGACTCTGAAGAGATCCCAGTCATCACAGACACCGAACAGTCAGATGGAGAGATCATATCCGATGAAGAATACACACAAGCAGAGCAGGAGTTTCCGATTGCCAGCAGTGCACCGCCCGTAGAACCCGCTCCGTACTTCTTCGACAAGGAACAATTCATAAGAGACCAGGAAGAACACTATGCACTGGAGAACTGCCAAGTATGGAACGCAAAAGAGCAAAAATGGGGCCCACCGAATACCACTCCCACCCAGAGAAACAACCGAGGAAGACGACGACGACGCTACTAACGTAGCAGAAGCCAAAAAAACCGAGCCGCCATCTTTCTGGAAAAACCATCCCGCCAAACGAACGACGCCAGTACGCCACCAGAACCTGACAAGCAGAAGCCAGACCCCACCCATCCCGTTCCAGGCCACCCGGCACATCTGGCTGTCCTTTTCAGGACAGCCATGTCCACTCCCTAAACCTGCAAGCCGCCCGCCAAGCCCACGCTGCTAACAAGTCGCAAACAATGAAAGAAAACTCAGGCGAAAATGATCGCCACAAGAAAGAAATTCAAATCAAACCACAACTGCAACTGACTTCGATATAGCAAGCCGTCAGGTAGCTGAAAGAAGTCAAAAGTTTGGAATTTTTGTTCTTTATGAATCCATCCATCCATGGTATGGTGGCTGAGAATGTCAAACAAAGAAAATTTTTTATCGCAATTTGAAGATGTTGTCACGTCTGCTACTCAGATACTATTGCACACTGCTTCAGATAAATTTGTTTTCTTGATAAATATAACACCCAGTGACAGCCTGAACATTTGTTGGATACAATCATATAATCATCACCATTATCGTCTTCGTCCGCTTCTTCTTTTTCTTCTTCTTTTTCATTTATTATTCTTCTTTCCTTCTCCTCTTAATCCATACCATGTATTGTATGTCCCTGTTTTATCTTGCCTATTGTCAATCACCCATGACGCTTTTTTACCCCTTAAAATTGTAATATAATTATTTTTTTCTTTCTCAAAATTTATGGTCTCAAATTGAAGGTGCGTCTTAAAATGTGACTGTCTCATACTTGGAGAAATATAATAATTAGACGTAGCATACATCATGCTTGCTAGGGAGGAAGTGTGCCCGGCTCTCTAACGTAGTTGGTTAAACCGGATTGCGCAGTGACCGGGTGACGAACTCCTTTTGGTCCAGGTTTACTCCCGGGGGTAGGTAGAAAAGCCACATTTCTCCCAGATTTACGGTATTCACAATGGAATCAAGGCCAAAAGGTTTGCGATATCCATAATACCGAGCCTACGGGTTAACAACTCATGGCTTCTGGATACTAAAACAAAACAAACAAACAGGGACGCAGTGTGGCTATTATTTCGTTCGGAGCTATGGAACCCACACAGGAAGTCCGAGGAACTACAGACAAGGTTTCAACCTGAACAAGCTCACACACTAACAAATTTGCTGGAATAAGAAGTTTTTAACAAGAACAACAAGACAATACAGCTTTACTGGCGGCGGATTCTTGCGTTACCCCACTGGTTACATCGTAGATATAACAAGCCAAAGCGGATGTGTACTTTTTATCCCTTTTCTTCTTCTTCTTCTCTTCTTCTTCTTCTTCTTCTTCTTCTTCTTCTTCTTCTTCTTCTTCTTCTTCTTCTTCTTCGCGTTCAGCAGCTGTAAACTCCGGCGGAAAGTTCTGGTTGTTCATCAACCACTAGATTGTAGTCTTGGTTCAGAACCTGAGTATTGCATGTACATCCGTTTTACATATCTGAATTAAATGTATACAAATTGTTGGTTATTTGCCATTAGGACAGATGCACTTCGACTTCGAAGGAAAGGCGGCTGTTTTCAGAGTACAAGTGACAAAACAATTGGTGGGTTATTTGTCTATGTGTACGTATTTGTCACCTCCAGGGGTAGGTAGTTCGCAGAGGCCCCGACAATAAGAAAACCGGGTTCGCTCAGTTCCTATACACATTTCTATATAGAGGGTATCAATGGTTAAGCCTTGTTTAAATGTATAATAACAGAAATAATTAGATCCGACGAGGTGTAGCGGTTAGATGCTCGCCTTTAGATTCGAACGCAGTGGTTTAAAATTCTAACAGAGCTGGATACTTTTTTTTTCTCAGGAATAACCATGACTCCCTGGTCAAACAAGCCCTAAATAGGTTCAAGGTAAAGTCCTGGGAAGTAAAGGCGGTGGGCGTGATGTCGACCACATTACCCATTAAGTGTAAATTCGTCTATAAAATATAGGTTTTGAACTATATGCCTAAAGGAGTGGAACATATCTTTTACTTAACTTATAAAGACAGGCGGATAGCAAGGTCACAGAACGAGTACAAAGGTCACTTTGTAATGAAATATAGGCAGAAAGGGGTTAAATGAACAAAGCATACATTTCGGACCACCACACGGCGTACTAATCTATCACTGTGTGAAATGACAGAAATGGCTGATTAGAAAGCCATGGCCTAGCCAGCTATACAGAACATCTGCACGATAACCGCCATGACATCTGACAGTGAGGGATGAAACATTTGACGAGTGCCCGTAAGCAAGCACATGCACTGTGACCAGCTGAAGAGATACGTTCATCCAAACGTGACCACCAAAGACAGGTGACAGGGGAGTGATTGAGAAGGCACGCCAAAAAGAGCGGGAAAGCGGGAGAATAAAGTCAGAGCCAGGGGCTTGAGAAGACAGTTAGGACCGAACCGCTTGGGAGACCAGTTGAGAAAACTAGTGCTGTACTTCGTTTAGAAGGTATATGTTAAACTTGGAGTTTAGCTAGAACAGTGATTAAGGAACTCGTAGAGAGACATAAGAATAGACAGTAACAAGATAATAAAGTGTTCATATACTATTGCTTATTGAATTTATGAAGTCTGTGTGACGAGAATATTGTGAATAAACCAGCTCTTGTGTAATTGTTATATCACTGGCCTTGTTCTTGAGTACGATCGAAGAGAGCTACGAACTATATCCATTCACCCTTGGCCGAACTAGGCACATCTATTTCTTGGGGGATGTCAAGGCACGACTGTGCCACAACTTGACATGTCCTGACACATGTGATTAGTTATTAAAGGAAAATAGCCCCTTTTCACGCCTTCATGTATGTTGGGCATACAGAGCTAGACCTATATATTTTATAGACCGACCGGCACTTGGTGGGTGATTATGTTAACCATTCAAGGCTGGGTCGACCGGGGAGCCGAGGTCAATTCTGAAAAAAGCTCGGTTCCGTCAGGACCCGAACCCCAGATCTTCCGATCCGCAGGCGACTACCCTACTTACAAGGTCTGACAATTAAGTAAAGAGACTGATTCCATAAAA